ACGGACGGGCAGCAGGCCATCCGCTAAACGGGACGAGGTGCAGTTCCTTTGGGAGGCTTTTTAGAGCTAACGGCGACTCACGAGTCTTCGTTGAACGAAATCGAAAGCCGGCAAAAACGCGGACCGAGGAGCGTTGCCCACGAAAGCCGTGACGGAGCATCCTGTAAGGGATCTCCAAGCTTGTGGCTAGATCCCTCGCGCCTCTCGGAATAGGAGTTGCCCACAAGCCTACCTCTGCAAAGCCGGCAACATGTACTGCGACCCAAGGAGCCTATTCCGCAACAGGATACTTCAGGTGTTGTCTACCGACTTCAGTACAGTTGCGGGACGCGCAACTATGTTGGAAAAACCGACCGACAACTACAGACGCAAATGCGCGAGCATCAGCTGGCTGTAAGAAGTTTGGACCAAAGTGGGAGGAATTGCTGCAGAAATCGGGCACGTTTTCAGTTTTGACGCTGTAGAAATTGTAGGCCGAGGTTACGGTCATACATCAAGGCAGAGGAAAGAGGCCTGGGTGTTGACTGACTGTTCAGTAAATTGCTTGCCCCCTGTGTTTCACTAAAAACCTTCTTATCAGGGAAAGTCACGGCGTGGAATTTTCGGGCCGCCAACCAGCTCTACAGCCAATGTGTTTGCATGTGGCGGATGGCCATAACGCGCGTTCACCACCTTTCCTTCTTTCTTCAATGCCCGCGGCTGTCAACATTTATATTTTCAGGCGGCTGTTCCACTTGGTGACCTGAAGACCTATAGCGTCCAAAACGACGCTTAACCTCCCAGACTGACACACGCGTGCCGTCGCTCAAGGCGCTATGACAGCTCTTCATCTCTCTCCAACACCGGATGGAGGCCTTCGTACAGAAGCCAACTTATACCAACCTTTTCTTTACAGAATACATCCTCCCAGCTGGCCTCCCGCTTCCTCTTCTGGGTATGAAAGTCTTGGCGGCTGGGGTCCCCCTATAACTCAGGCTGCGCGACAGACCAATAGCCCAACCCCTCCCAACAGGCCGATGCCCCTAGCAAACCTGTAGCGACCCCGCCTTTCGCGACTGCTGGCACGTGCACGCGCACCAGGGACTGCCTACCCATATCCGATCTGGCCAATCATCTCCCCTGTGGCTGACTGACACATGAGCGCGCTGCAGACGCTGTGATGCTGCCCGCGCTCTCACACGGTCCTCGGATGCGGACGCAAGTTCGTCTGGCTGTCAATTCACTCCAACCTATGTCCCA